ATTTGTTCCTTTCTTTGATCCATATAGCTATTTGGAATAATAGAACGACTCTAATGCGTGCTGCAGTGTCATACGGACAGAAGGGTGAATATTTAATCAATCAAAATCATGTTTCGGGCATCGAAATAATGCTCTTGGTCTTTTTCCCAACGATCTAGGTGCATGAGTAACGATTTTGGCAGGTTTTGGTCAAAATACATGTGGCTTCAGAAAAATAATTTAAAATCTTTTAATCAAACACATGCGGTTATCAGATGTGCTTGTGATGTACTCTTTCGCCATCAAGATTGAAGAGATAATGCGCGTTGGAAAGATTGTAGAACTCCAAATTGATGTGTAAAGAATAATTTTTGCTCTAAAACATTTGACTAAACGCTATATAAAGTATTTTTTCTACAATCGATATCCAAAGTAGGCATTTGCGCTCGTATTTGACAACGCAAAACAACGCTGGGCAAAACGCGGGAATTAGCAAAATCCAAACAGTTTCAATTTGTATGGACTGTCGACGGCAAGATATTTGTCAGGAAAGCGGTTGGGCGACCTTCAATGCGCATTGGATCTGTTGCAGATTTGGAGAAATTGTAGATGATCGCAATGGTTTTTCCTGTTTATGTAATCTTTTATTTTTTATTTTTGTCGTCAAATAAATTTTCTTTGATTACTTTCTCTCAGCAATGAACTCTGTCATTAAGGACGTTAGCATGTACTATCAGAATGTGAGAGGGCTGAAAACTAAAACCCTGGAATTTTATCTCAATACTTTAGGGAATTCTTATGATATTATTGTACTGACAGAAACGTGGCTGCATGATGGTATTCTATCCAGCGAATTATTTGACAGTAGGTATTGTGTATATCGAAATGATCGGGATAGGAAAGCTACTAAACTTTCTGATGGGGGTGGGGTTTTGATAGCTGTTAATAAAAAGCTAATTTCGGCACGCATTAATACTGGAGGTGATGAACTTCTTGTTAAAATAGGAAATCACAATACCTATTGCCTTTATGTTTGTGCTATATATCTTCGTCCCAATAGTAGTGTGGATACATATTGCCATTTTTATGATAGAATAAATGAAATTCCAGATCTTTCAAGGCAAAATTTATGTATTATTGGAGACTTCAACCTTAAAATTTCTGGAGTTAATCAGAATTTAGAATATGGAGATAACTATTGTAGAGAGTTATATAACTTTCTTTGTTTTAATAACTTAAGTAGTAAGAATAACGTTGTTAATAATTTGGGACGAACATTGGATCTCGTATTGAGTAATATTACAACAATTGATGTTTCACCATGGGATGACTCTCTTGTGGCAGTAGACAAATTTCACCCAGTACTCCATGTATCATGCAAGTTAAAACATTCTAAATCCGCTAACTGTATAACTGAGGGGCAGTATTACAATTTCTACCGGGCAGACTTCTTGCAGATTTATTATAGCTTAGCGGAAGTAGATTGGACAATCTTAAATAATATAGGTGATGTTAATGAAATTACTAATATTTTTTATAAGATTTTATATAGAATATTGGACCAACATTGTCCAAAAAAACCGTTTAGGAATAGTTTCCAATATCCTGTGTGGTTTACAGCGGAAATTGTTCAAAGTATTAAGCAAAAAAGTAAGCTATTTAAAAAATACAAACGCCTACATTCTAGTAATGATCCACGATCAGTAGATACCTATTTGGAATTTAGCCACTTGAGGGCAGACGTGAAAAAACGAATCTCATTGGCTCATAAAAATTACATAGCACAAGTAGAATCCAACATTCACTCCGATCCAAATCGTTTCTGGTCTTTCATAAATAATATGCGACAACATGTAGATCTCGAAAACAATATGCTGTGCGGAAACGCAGTTATTAAGATGGGAAATGAAATAGCTGATAAATTTGCGGAAGTTTTTGAATCTGTATATCTACCCGCGCCAAATCAATATGACGTCGAAGCTGCAATTTCTACTACAAACTGTGAACCCTGGAACGTGGCACTTGATTTAGTAGAAGTTTCCCCAAATGACGTATTAGGTGCTATTAAGCACTTAAATTGTAAGCGTTCAACGGGCCCAGACTTGTTGCCACAATACTTCTTTAAGGGATACAAAGAATTACTAGCATTACCACTATCCATAATATATAACAAAAGCCTAGCCTCTAATACATTTCCGGAAGTCTGGAAATGCTCAAAAATAATTCCAATACATAAAAGCGGTAACCGTCGATTCTTCTCGAACTACCGCCCGGTTGCCTTGCTGTCAGCTCCATCAAAAATATTTGAAATAGTCTTGCACAACAACATATTCAAAAAATTAATTCCGCATTTATCTACTAAGCAACATGGTTTTGTCTCGGGAAGATCTACGGTAACAAACCTCATTAATTTTACACAGTTCATTTCAAGAAACTTGGACAAAGGTAATCAGGTGGATACAATTTTTACAGACTTGACGAAGGCGTTTGATAAGGTGGATCACTCCATTATCTTGTTCAAGTTAATACAATATGGGGTATCATATAACGTGGTTTTACTGTTAAAATCTTACTTGCTTGACCGTAGTCAATATGTTTGGTATAAAGGGCACAAATCTAGGGAGTATACAGTTACTTCAGGTGTACCGCAGGGTTCGATACTTGGGCCTGCACTTTTTAATCTTGTTGTTAATGATGTCGTGAATTGTGTACAGGAGTCTGAGATATTGTTATATGCGGATGATCTCAAACTTTTTAAGGTAATTAAAAATAATCAAGATGCGCTGGGACTTCAAAATGATATAACTTCAGTTAATAAGTGGATGACCCTAAATAAGCTATCTTTTAATGTCTCAAAATGCGTAACACTAACGTTTACGCGTGGGAAACATTACATCGCCTATGACTATTCTCTTAATGGCGTGAACTTGAAACGGGTGTCTACATACAGCGACCTGGGGGTAGTGTTTGACCATAGACTGACGTACACACTTCACTATGCCGCCATAACGAGCAAGGCGTATCGCAATCTTGGGTTGATAATTAGACAGAGTAAGTATTTCACGTCAATTTCCACATTGAAGCTATTATATGTGACACTAGTGAGATCTAATTTAGAGTACGCAACGACGGTGTGGAACCCCCACTACAGTATTCACAGTTACAATATCGAAAAAATTCAACACAAATTTTTAAGACATTTATATTTTAAAACACATGGATATTACACGTATCTGACGTCAAGTAGTGCGATGTTAGCAATGTTTGATTTAAAAAGTTTGAATACCAGGAGAAAAATACTACAGCTAACTTTCCTTTATAAGCTTCTTCGAGGTTTCACATATGATAGTGGATTGCTCAGTCAAATTGGATTTATCACCCATTCATACTCCAGTCGGTCAAGATCATTATATCATATCCCATACGCTCGTACAAATGTCCTCAAACATTCACCATTAATTAGTATGTTGCGCACATATAATGAATTACCACCACAGTTGGATATATTTGGAGACTGCCTTCACGAATTTAAAAAGAATTTAAAAAGAAATGCTATCTGCACGTACTGTAAAGAATCTTATCACATTTTGTAACCCGTGTGATTCGTGATTTCCCTGCTCCAATCATGTAACTCGTTAGTTTTGGCAGTCATACAGAATGCTTTTTTGTTTAAGTTTTTGTAAGTTTTTGTTTAAGTTTCAAATATTGTTAGCCGTGATCGTTATAACTATAAATGCATCTAATTTATATTTTATTCCTAGTGCCTTTTTGTTTTTTTGTGTCCTCTGTAGCTAGTAACTACTTAATTACTAATTATTATTTTATTTCTTGTGTACTTTGTTATATTTGAGTTATATTTCATTTACTCACTTAAATGTAAATGTATGTACTGCTCAACTGTAATTGGGGTAAAACCTGTAGTTGAGCAAGCAAATTTCATCAATAAATAAATAAATAAACGCAAACGTCATCTTTTTCGAGGAATGTCACTTTGTCGCTTATAAGCTACAAAATAGAAAAAACGCTCGCTCTCCCAATTATTAACTATAAATCAAATATGCATTGCTCAGAGTATCCAATGACAACGAGTAAATTACATCTTTCATTTGGGCATAAGATTAAAATGATTTGAGTGAAAAATTTTAATTTCTGGAAATATGTGAACTGCTGGATTGTAGAAAAAAATCTTGTGTGTAATTCGAGCGCAAATTGATTGTCGATTTCAAGAGATTGCCGCGCTCCTTTCAATCGACAATATATCATTTTGCGCTCTTAATACACAAATAGCTATAACGTTATTGCGAAAACAGACGAACGGACAGAAAAATTGGCGGACAAGCACACAAAACTATAAAGGATCTGAGAATCCTTATTCGTATTTATTATTATACTCGTTAATTTTATTTAACCTGTATGACAGTAGTGCCACCTACTGAAATTTTATTTTCTTAGCTTTCTGAGTCGAGTTGTTAAACTCAACCACCTCAATCTATGTATGATCACGGCAATACGTTATTAAGCAGTGTTGCCAGAGTAAATATGCATAAATCAAAACCCCTATTTTAGGTACTTTGCGGACGGATACCAACAATCAGAAGGGTTTCTTCTATTCGAAACAAGTCAGACGATAAAATCTAAAAATAGCACGATTTGGAGATTTTTGAATTATTTAAAGCATTGAAAATAATGGGGAAAAATTGTGAAATTATTATTTAGATTCAGTTCCTCCTCCACAATCATCAAATGAGAGACGAAATGTTTTACTCTGTTTAATATTGATATGAAAAGATTTATCGTATGCGGTCGTTAAAGCTAATGATACAGAAAACATAGGAAATAGTTTACAAGTAATGAGCAACACCTTAAAACATATTTAGATTCCATTATCTGGGAAATAAAAGTGTAATCGTGTATGTAGCACACCCATAGAAGTATACCTAAACGTTTTTGGTGCCCAAAAAAGGAAGCTGTCGTTATGTAATTGAATTTACTTGAGATAACAAATAAATTTCTTGTTTCAGTTGCAAGTTCGCCTTCCATTTCAAGTCCAACTGTCGTCTCCTCGCCTGGGATCGCGTCGACTGGACCAAACAGCTTGGGGCCTGCTGCTCTGCGTGAAATTTACGGTGGTGCCGCATCTACCCCTGGTCATCCTTTGGCTTCCCTCGTATCGCAACAGAGGTTACTTGAAATGTCCCGATTTGGATTAAGACATTTTGACCTCGCTCAACATATGCTCACTCAGCAGGGCGCCGTCACAAAACTACTGGGTAAGTTCACTACAGATTTATGTCGATTTATGCATTGGGCACCGAAAGAAAATCTGTGGACAAGCCGACGCGTAACCCGCAATTAAATTCGCAACAAATCTCCGGATTATCAACAAAATCCTATCATTTATAATCCGACGTAAGCATAAATAACTATAACCAGACTTCATAAATTGCGGCTACATTTCACCAACAATTAAGCGTAAATTTATTGTGCCGTCTTCGCCCTCGCGATAACAATACAGGCGATTACATACCAAACCTTAAACGTTTACGTCAACCAACTGTTTTAAGCTATGCGATCAATATCGTAACATCAGATATGCTAATTCGAATCGAACATTTATAAATAGTGAGCTACTTAATTGCCAACTATGAAGAAATAGTACCTACCAGCACATCCTTTACTTTCGAACTACCAATGCCTTTCGGCGTTAAAAGGTTCACATCGTGGTTTTATCATTCGATGACTGATCGGATTCTGATCAATTGAGTTGTATCCAAAACAAAAACCTAACGATTAATGGTGATCGTGGTGTAAAATATTACAAATAATTATAGGGGGAACTTTTTAATCCATACAATAACGCAGACTGTTTCTTCCGCTTTTTGTTCGAAGGCAAAGCATAACGCGTCTTTTGTATGCTTCATTGTTTAAAAAGTAGTAGTTACAAAATGTACCATAGAATTATGTATGAGGATGTAAGAGTAGAGAAAACTGCACAGAAATTTGCATATCAGTTGAGAAACTCACAATGTGCCGGAAATTTTCGTATAGCCATCTCGCTACTATATCTAAACGCGAATTTACGATCGAACCACTTATACGCTCTCAACACCGCCCAAATGAAAGTGGCAATATCGCGATTCGAACAATAAATACTACAATATATAATGATACGCTACATCGCGATATTATGAGTTATAAATATTATCGGTTGACCGCACTTTTGATTAATATTGCAGTTTACACAGTAGCGTTAGCTTTTCAAATGTCAGTGTTCAATTTCGACACGATCCAAAAGTGAATGTGCTTCAAATTTATTTGCGTTTAAACATTAATACGATACTATTAAAATTAGAAAATATCAAGTATCACACCATCAATCATACCACTTCTACAATTAAAAATTGACCAAACGTTATTACTCAACCTTTATGTACGGTTCGTTTTCTAATTAATAAACTCTAACCTTTTTCTATCCTATTTTTCTCTATGCTCTTATTGCGGAGGCTGACAGTTTTCTTCTATTAGCAAAATTTAGTGAACAGCCACCAAAGCGTTAACACTGATCAGAGTTTGCATGAGAGGAAAGGTTATGCAAAGTTAGGAGAAATACGTGATACCCTTTAATGTACTTAGTACCTATTATTACCATTTTGATGTATTTTTTCTGATGTTTTGGAGTTTCCTTTCATTTATTAACATAGTCAATAAAAACCACGCTTGATTTTTGCACAAAATAATATTATGTTAACTACCATCTCCGACAAAACTAACAATAGCACTGTTTGTCAGTTATATAGTGTGTTCATAAAGCTAATACACCCTAAATTTGTTGTACTTTTTTCGGCTCCCCTTTTTATGGGACTTTAAGAGAATGATAAAGAACCATATATAACAGAACTTGGTAGAATGGAAAAATAAGTACCGAAAAACATCGCCAGCTCCCGGACCTCTACAATATTATGAAACTGCACTTGAATCACTAGGACTATATGTAATGAACATATACGTCGAGTTTTGTGGGGTCCTTTCTTTTGACACCAAAATTATATCACATAATTCAATAGCTTGATCGTAAAATAATTGAAATTTGGTGGTCATTATTTCTTAGAAATGTGATGCTATTTTACTTGTTACGAAAGTGAGATCTCTTCAGAAGAAACACACGTAAACGGTACCTGCTGTACCTAATTTTTTTCCATTTATATCATACACCTACGCGTTCTCTAACAGACAAAATGAACCATAAATTAATAACAAAAATGGCTTTTTATAAATTACAATTAATATTATCACTCCGTAGCTGTACTCTTATCGGTAAACAAATTATAGCCTCTATTTAATATTCAGTAGGCTAAATTGATCCCGCAAATGATAACTAAGAAAATTGGTGATAATTACAGAGCATTCTTCGTCTAATTATAAATTATAAAGAATATTTAGGTGTAATCCTTTTAATTCATTTAAAAATAGGGCACTTTTTTATCGAATTAACGATTTACCAATGGGGGTTTACAGTATAGTTGAATTCCGTAGTTCTAATTTAATAAGCGTGTACTGAACCCATAAAACAATTCTTTGGGCAGTAAAAGTTTATTTAAAAATAGAGGCTGTTTAGAAAAAAAATAATGAACACGTGCGGTATTAGGGGTTTATTCAAAACGAGAGTAATAAGCCCGACCAATCAGCTTCTAGAACCATTCAGATGACATACGACTTGGTAATATTGCAGGAGAATGTCATTTGTAACTTGCGTCATCTGTCACAGACAATTATAAAAATTTTGCTACCAATCTACGTACTTTAAATTTGTGGCCAGTGGCGTACTTCCGTATGGTCAAGTGGGGGAACTAATAAATTATTTTAATGGGAAGTACTAGTTTTAATTACGTATTACTAAAGAGTATATTTTTTTGGATATACATAGCACTATACCAACATAAAAAACTGATTATTATATTGCGACGAACGTTCTCCGTAAGTTTTCGCACCAAGGGCGGCTTCGGTTCTCCTTCACAAAAAAAAACACAAATTAAACGGTATAAACAAAATGCAATGTTATATTTGGTAAATGTAAAAATCATGTAATTATCGCATCATTACTCGTATTATATGCATAGACAATATTGCTTTCTATTCTTTGAATGACAGTTGTACCTATAAGTGAGGATGCGATATCAATTAAAACAACTATTACAGCTGATTAAGAGGTCACTATAGAAAATACTAAATGTTATGGATGACCACACTGCCAGACTTTTGCGAAACGTTAGACGATATTTCTTTTAACTTTCAGAGAAAGTCGTCTGGATATCTATTTTGCAAAGCACACATTTTACACTATTTATTGGAAAACAATGTAGTTGAATGGAGGAATAAAAATGCCTTTAATTTCATGTGGCACTGTAGAGTTCCGGAGTATATTTTATATAAAATTTCTTCCCTCTCAAAAACAAAATTTGACTTATTTTAGAAATTCTCCGAAAAATGGTTGGTTTTCTACATAAAGAGGGTCGCATTTTGGTTGGAATACCCTGTATAATTACATATTCGTTTAATATATCTTTAAACACACACTAATATTGCACTTACATTTACCACCTATGAAGTACAAAATCATACTGTTCATCAATATCTATAGCTAGCTTCCAAATCCCGCTAGCCAGTACAACAAAATATCGGCGTTCTTAATAGGTAGCGGACTTTTCTTGTCATTTTAAGATAGTAGGTACATAAACGGTACTACAGAGTACTGATACTGGCGCGTACTGGCCAGAGTGTGCTGGCTATCTTCACCCACGCATAATATCACCCTGGATTTAAGAAAAAAATATCTGATCAAACCCAATAATAAAGGGAAATGGTTCATGCAGTTATAAAGACATTGATTCACCTATATACGCAAAGATCGACATCTAAATTATTAAATTTTTGTGTGCATTATTTTGAAAAGCATGCAGTATTTAAGGGCCGCACTTCACATTTGTATCACTCTGACCTAATCTAAAATTATCGGAATAATGTTTCACAAGTTTAAGCGGTTTATGTTAATTAAGCTTATGAAAGTCTATAAAAAGGTACCCTGATTTCATTAATTAATAATGTTTCTTACAGCACTATGTTTTTTTCGCGTTTGAAACGTCAATTTAATTGTGTGCATGTAAGATGAGGCGGAAGTAACATTAGAAATCAAATTCTGTATTACATTATAATCCAATGGACAGGCAGTTTTTAATTAGACAAAGATACCTGTTCGTAGTTTTGTTTAACACGTATAATTTTACATTGAATGCTTATCAATGTCTAATAGGTAACTCTTAACAGTCACCGTTGTGTAAAACTGACACTCCCTTGCCATATATACCTACACGGCTTGTAGCTAAAATGTGATGGACAAACTATGAGCGATCACTTTTATTATATTCAATGACTTTCTTGTCTTACGACTTTAATTTTTGTCTTTGCAACTGTTACAAACGCGATCCGTCGAGACCGCCATATAAATCTTTTTAAACGGGCTTTGCATATGATGAATATGAGAAACCACTGATAGGATGCACTAGGTTTCAATATATTATACCTACAGTGTGAGTTTACCTAAGCTCTGGTTTATTTGTGTTAGACCATAATAGTTTTTCTGCGTTGAATTTTGACTATAGGTACCTTTACTTATTGTAGTCATTGTGATGGCGTATATAAACTGCACAACTTAGGTATGATTATGTAGGTAATGAATACTGGTTTATGTTTACTAGTTAAAGCAGATCATGTATACATCAATTCTGGTTGCTAAATCATTTATTTAAAAGTATTTGTTACTTGCACGATTTTTCAATATCAACAGGCGCAACTAAACTACCCGCTAAGTAATTTCTACCTGGCTTATAATGGCAATCGAGAGACGAGAATGCTACTTTACACAAAGGGTTTTGGTTAATAGCTTTTATTAATTGCATAACACCTAATCCGTTATAATTAACAAGTCTTAAAAACCAAAGTAGGTAGGTATGTGTACCTTTTAGAATAAAATTGGATTTTTTAATGATCTATACTGTTAGAGACGCTATTATATTAGGTTTCCACCTTCTATAATATATGTGGATGTGTACAAACCTACACTTTCCTAAGAAGGTTTTTTTTACTATAATTGCAGCTTAGGACAAAAGCGAATGTTGAAATATTGACTCATTTGGAAAATTAGCGAAAATTCAGCAAATGCGCTTGCTAACCTTCTCGTCCCTTAAACCGAAATACAATACTTGCATGAGATACA